AGATAGGGTTACCATTCCCAGCATAGGCTTTGGCATTAGTGATAAACTGGCTGACGCCATGCATGTACCGCTTGTCCATTCGGGACAGATGCATCCACTCTCAATCCATCTCTGCATAAAAAAATATTGAGACAGTAATTACAAAGAATTAATAAGAAATCGAGCTTCATGAACAACAATTGTAGCTCGAAAGTACCATTTTTGGAAAACATTATTGTACACTAATTATTGAAAAATTGAAATTGGTAGCCCTGGCCCTGTAAATTGAAAATCATAATAAAAAACAATTATTGCACAATAATGAAGAACAACTATTCTACTCCGTATCACATAAAAATGGAGACATTTTAAAAAAGACTAAAATTGGAGACATGATCATGAACAACAATGTAGCTCCAAACAATGCCCATATAAATTGAAAAATGCAGTCCCATAAAAAAATTATTGCACAATAATGAAGAACAATTATTCTACTCCATGCCACATAAAAATGGAGACACTAATTTTAAAAAAAATCTAAAATTGGAGACATGATCATGAACAACAATGTAGCTCCAAACAATGCATTGTTATGTAACACAGATTAATTTTCTCAACAAATTGTAAATGAATCTACTCTACTTCTAAGAACTATAGCATCACATACTAACAATGATGATCTTGACCACCATGGAATAATTAGCTACGAATTTAAATATGTTCATAGACACCAACCTTTTGGATGATGGATTCACCACAATTTGAGCCTTGCACAAATGTCCAATTAGAAAAGTGCTCTCTAGAATGGAGAAAGAACTAGAATCAGAATCAAGCAATGTAGCCATCAAAACGAAGCTAATTAAGCAACAAAATCAAATGAGTGGATATTTGTTACTAACCTTAAAGCAAAAAGATCAAGCCATTCTTCAAAATCCAAACGCTAGCTTCATGGTGAAGAGCAGCCGCAACAATGGAGTGGATATCTGTTCTCGGGATGGAAAAGAGGAGAAAGGAGAGGACGGCTGTAGCCTTTTTGTGATGTAGGCTTATCACCGTCGGTTCTTGACTAGAACCAATAGTGATAGAGCCCAATCACTGTGGGCTTTTGGTTTGAACCGGCAGTGATATGTGGCCGTCAAGCTACTACCGGTTAGAGACACAAACCGACAGTGATAGTTGTCATCACTGCCGGTTCGGTCACATACCAAATCAATTTCTGGTTTTTAGAGCCAAGAACCGGCAGTGAAGGGTCAACACTGCCGGTTGTCCTAATTCCGGCAGTGATGAGGCTGGCAGTGAAGTGCTATTCTGTAGTAGTGCACGCTATGCCATAGGTCCGGTATGCATATTTGTCTTAGTGTCAATATGGATATTCATATTTGTATTTGATTTTAATCTGTATACTAAGTCGATATTGTTGGGGGAACGTCCTCCACGTGGCACCCCACCCTCGCCTTAGCTAGGGCAGGACCCTTGCATGCTTCTGGCATCACAGCACCACTGGTAGGAGGTACGCCTCGCCGCTGCTGCAATGAACCTCGCTCGGGCTTGAATGCCATCCTCGCCCTAGGCGCGGGCGGCACCGGACAACTTCATCGCCTCACCCCATGCTGCCTCGCAAAAGCCCCCTACGAGGGATGCCTTTACTCTTTGGCTTTGCAGGACTGAGTACCGCTCGCAAGGCCTAGCCGGCTAGAGAGAACCCTCACAATGTCTGTTCGGTCGTCGTTTGATGGAGGACAAAGAATCGTGGTCCCCTCAAGTGGAGCTCCAGATGGCGTTAGGAGAGTGGTTGGAGGCGAATAGTCAAAAGACCATAGCTCCCCCCTATCCATGTAAGAAGACCCCCAGTTTGTCTAGGGGCTACTGTAATTTTCTATTGTCCACATATATGGCATATAAATACCGTGGAGACATTACTGTAACGGATGATTAATTAATGGCCGTTTACTCTTGATTTGATTGGTTGTGACCCATCGTCCGTGTCGTGTACCTTTATTTCCCCGTCACGCTCTCCCTTCCTACCTTCCTGTGGGACACGCTCGACCTCCTCCACTCTGATCCCAGCGAGGGTAGGGGTAGAGCGAAGCCTCCACAGTTGACGCCATCGGTGGGGACCCACCTGCCCACCATATCACTTTCCAAACCAACCATTGCTCGCAGCCTCGCAGGCCGACCCCCCCGCGGCTACATATCACTTTCCAAACCAACCATTGCTCGCAGCCTCGCAGGCCCCCGGCTACTGCGGACACGGAAATCACCGGATGGATGGCCGTGGATCAGAGAAGCAGCATGCGACGATGGAAGGAGCGGTGCCTCAGTGCCATCGGCGCTGCCGACAGAGCAGCCTGTGCCATGGCGCGCGGCGGCGTACATAGCTCCTCGGCTTGGTTACGTACGTTTCTCGTCGGCACCAACGACTTTGCCAGTTTGGATACTTAGTACAAGGTCGTTTTGTGATTGTGATCACTAGCAGCTCGGTCGGTGATATAGAGTAGTACTAAGTAGTAGTTGGCAAATTATATGCCTTGATGAAAGGGACATGAGAAAATACCAATAATACTCACAGCAGTGGACATGACAAAATAATTGCTGGTGTTGGACCAGTGCAGCTCAACAGCGTTCAGCGCCACACACATGCTTATGCAGCTGGTATGCTCTTCAGTTCACTGCGCCCGTTCCTGTGCCATCGGCAGCCTGATGGTGCGCCCGTTCGATGCTTAAGGAACGGCTGGGCCAATAGTAATTGTCGACCGTACCTGATCAAAGAACAAAGCGATTTACTCCTAATAATTTCTTCGGTCGCGGAAGTCAGTGTTAGCCTTCTAGAGTTGTCCTAAATTATTTATTATTGTTACTCCTAATAATTTTTTTCAGTACATCTCTATATTAATATCCTTTTCTTGTTTTTTTGTGCACCGTACTTTTCTCATTTATTCCTTAATTATTAATTTATGTGTCTAGAGCTAAAACGATAAATATTATGAGACGGAGGGAGTATTGTGTTATTTTGCTTTGTTATTAAATAGTAATTGTGTTATTTTGTTTTTTAATATGTAGAAAAATTAGTTCTAGTCCAATGATATGGTCTACAGGGAATTAATTGCTAGTTCAATGATAAAGTGTATATACATACGCAAATGTAGTATTTATAACAGGGCAGTGGTGGAGGAAAGCATAGGACTAATTGGACTATGACTTTAGATATTGCTTCATGTTTTCTATAGTATAACACAGTCACACACTATTCTAGGCCAGGGGCAGATCCCACGTGAGTGCAGGGGGTGCCGGAGCCCCCTGCTCCCTGGAGCAAGTGGAGCCCCCCACATAGTCTCTCCTCCATTTTTGCTGCCATGGATTGAAGTTTGGAGTTGAAGAAAGCTCTCCTCCATTTTTGCTGCCATGGATTGAAGTTTGGAGTCGAAGAAAGGTGTTGGAGGTCGATGAAAGAACTGTTTGTCTGGCACCCTTTGTATCTAGCCCCCCACCCGGGTCCCCTACAGGCCTAATGCATCTAGCAAACTCTGCATGTGTAGTGACCCTATGCGTTGGGCTAGTCTAGCTCCGCTACTGCAATCACCAGAAACACAAAAGTATACCTAAACCAGAAAAGAGCTATGCAGAGTAGCACTAGCTCGTTAGGCTATTAACAAATTGCTTGAAGATCCAGGAGTTAGCTGTAAAAGGAAAAGTTCTATTAAACATCCCATAACTAATTTCCATAGTTTTATTGCTTCATCACTTGCAAACACCAGATCTCCTTACTCCCTTAACTATTTAATACCATGCAAATCACAACCCCCATTGGTTTTGATGCTGGTGTAGTGTAGAAAATTAAATCTCTGTATTTGACATCCCTCAACTTTATTTGTTTCAATGATCTTCAAGGTGTTTTCGACATCATAGTTTCATGGGTAGTGAACTCCGCAATATGACATACTTTCTCTCCCTCTTATGTTTGTTGTGCTAGGATGACCCACTAGAGAGAGTGAGTTACATTGGTAGGAAAAATATCATCTATTTAACACAAATGTTGACGTAGATTATTAAAAAAATATTTCACACATATCTAATCATTTTATTCCTCTGTTACATTGTACAAAAATAAGCTACAGCTTGCTGTCACAAACGACAATCTTTTCTACCACTAAATACAAAAAAAATTGAAACCTTATATCAAGTCATTAGCTACAGTTGATCTAGAGCACTAGTACTCAATGAAATGACACCAGTAGTATCAGGAACGCAATGATAAGCTAACCTAACATTTTGTACCTATCTAAGATATATGGGAGAAAGAACAAAATTCTCCACCACCCACCATAATACTCCATCCGTCCCTAAATAACTGTCATTTTTTGTTTCCGTGCCGTAAGTTTGACTACATTTGTAGAAAATGCGTACAACATTTGTATCTCCAAATAAATTTATTATGAAAATAGATTCAATGATCTATCTAATGATATTAATTAAGTGCCATAAATATTAATATTTTTATATAAATTAGTCAAAGTTATTTCTCGTTATACGAGAACGACCGTTATTTAGGGACGGATGGAGTATACTGTTCTGCTTGTTTCCCACACTAGCTCTTTGTGTCATGCTCGGTGTTGAACAGCCAAGGGAGTAAAGATATTAGGTTTTCCGATTGGGGAACAAAATCCATATTTGAAGAAGGTCAAAAGACTTTTTTTCCAAGCAAAACTGTGTTAGGATCAGGATGTCGGAGTTCGGGGCCGGGGCGCTCTCCATGTCAGCCCTATCAGCCCATTTTGCAATTTTGCAAAGGGGGCAGCGTTCGTTTTTCTCAGCATCAGCACAAACAAGCTGCCACGTGGCCACGCACCCGGCGCCCCTATGATGGACGCACCACGCACCGCACCATGGAAGGAGAACCAAATTCTCCTGGTCCCTCCCGCCGCCCCTGTGAGCGACAACAACAGAGCATTCTGCTTGCTTCTCCCACACTCTTGCCGCCGGAGACACTGAGAAAAGCAACAGATCAGCCACGGCCACCCGCCATGGCTCACAACGGCAGCGAAGACGCCCACGCCGCGCCGCTGCTCACGCCATGCCCGGAGTCGGCCGTGCCCCGGCGGTGGAAGTGGAACACATGTACCCTTTCGCTTGTGCCACGCTCGCCTCCATGACCACCGTCCTCATGGGATACAGTTCGTTCGTCGTCCTACTGTCCCATCTTCAACCTCTAGCTAGCTAGCAGATGCAAGGATCTACACTATATATGTGACGTGAGGACTGTTTCTTTTCTACCCTTGCAGATCTCGCGGTGATGAGTGGCGCGGAGCTGTTCATCAGGGAGGACCTGGGCCTCACCGACGCTCAGACCGAGGTGCTGACGGGGTCCATGAACCTGTACATGCTCCTGCCCATCCTCGCGCACCTCGGACACCCCGGCCGAGGCTGACCTCCGCCTGGAGGAGATCAAGCAGGCCGTCGCCGTCGCCGCCACCTCCGCAGCTCCAGGATCCAGAGACGACGACAACGGCACGTGGACGGAGCTGCTCGTCCAGCCAACGGCAGTAGTGAGACGAATCCTCGTCTGCGTCGTCGGGCAGCAGTTCTTCCAGGAAGCGTCCGGCATCGAGGCCGTCGTGCTATACAGCCCGCTGGTGTTCAAGCGCGCCGGCATGTCGTCGTCGGACCGCGCGGTCCTGGGCGCCACCGTCGCTTTCGGAGCGGTCAAGACGCTCTCCATCCTCGTGGCCACGTCCCTTTCAGACCGCCTCGGCCTGCGCCCGCTCCTGCTGGCCCGCACCGGCGGCGTGGCCATGGCGATGGCGTCCCTGGCCGCGTCGCTCTGGCTCGACGCGACGTCGGCGTGCCTCGCGTCCGTGCTGGCCTTCGTCGTCGCGTTCCTCGTCGGGTTCGGGCCGCTGGTTCCGGCGTACGGCGCGGAGGTCCTGCCGCTGCGGCTGCGCGCGCAGGGCACGAGTGTGGGCACGGCGGTCGGGCGGATGGTGTGCGCGGCGGTCAGCATGACGTTCATTTCGCTCGCCGGCGCCATCAGCATGCCTGGGTGCTTCTTGCTGTATGCTTGGCGTGGTGCCTGGGGGGACATGGATGTGCTCTTCGCCAAGTGAGGCATGGGTGTGGGGTACTGGGTGTGTTCTGTCCGTTCCGGTTATTCTGGTTGCATTGGTTTGTCCGGTAGCTTTTGAAAAGGCATGCCATGTATAGTGACTACTACAGTGCCTAACATGGGTGCTGTCTTGGCAAAGGTGCTACGTGCACAGGATTTAGGCTCTTGAAGACCTAAGAGTATAAACTTTATGGGCATTACAATTTACAACCCCAACTTTCTATTAACACCAGACAACACGAGTACAACAGAAATCAGTACCGGTGGTTCCAGACCTATTTCTACCTGCGACCGTTAGCGTCAAAGACCAGTGAAAATTGCGAACATTATAGGTATCTACTTGAGATGCGCTAGTGTTAATACATTTGCACTGGCGGCTCGTTTAAGCCATCCGACAGTGTAAAATAGATTTACACCGGCGGTTCACCTAAGCCAACCGTCAATGTAAAACCATTGGCACAGGTGGGTGGTTTATGTGAACTGCCTATGCAAATATTTTTACATAGACGGTTTACCTAAAAGAGCTGTCTCTAGAAAATGTTTTCCAGAGGCGGCTTATTAGCATAACCGCCAGTGAATTATTTTTAAAAATTTAAAATTTGGCGCCATATATTTTCTACTAGGGAATTGTTTTATTTAGGGTCCCAAATATTGTTATAAGTTCACATATTTTGAAATTTAAAAGTATCAAACAATCTCAAATATTGACATGGTCTATATGAAAGTTATACGATCTACAGCTTTGTAGTTGAAAGTTTTTTATTTGAAGTTGTTTAGTGCCCCAAGTATGTGTTCTAAGTTTATAGAATTTGAAATTCAAAATTTAGAATTTCTAAACAATCTCGAATGTTCACATAGTTAATACTAAAGTTATAGTGGCCGACCTGAGCTACATGTTTGCAAGTTCTTTATTTGAAGTCGTTTAGAGTCTCAAATATTTGTTTTAAATTCAAATATTTTGAGATTCATTTTTTTTGAATTTTTCAAACAATCTCGGATGAGATCCTATACCAAAGTTGTAGTACTTGACAAGACTTAAAAGTTTGTAGTTAAAGTTTTTCATTTGAGTTAAATTTAGTAGGCAAAATATCCAATATAAGGTTACGAAATATTGATATAAAAAGATAGTATATATTATGTATAATTAGAAATGAGTGTGTGGTGTAGTGGTAGAGATGTGCTGTCGTTGAATAGCAAGTCATGAGTTTGACTCTCCAAAGTTGCGTATTTTTGGTTTTTTTGGTTTTCTGTGCACGCCTCTGTTAGTGGGATTATTGGGCGTCCTCCTTCGTAAATGGCGATTAACGCAGGCGCCCTATTGGAGGCGGACGCGGAAACCCAAAACGCCCGCCTCTATTAAATTTTCTGCAGTAGTGTTTGTGGTAGATAGTTGGATTCTAGAATCCAAGCGACTGGATCTCATTCTGTTTTTCCCACCTCATTCTTTATTTGATAATTTTTCCCACCTCATTCTTATTTCGTTGATGAGATCCAAACAAAGACTTAGGGTACGTTTGGATGTGCGGAACGTTTCCGTTTCTCCCGTGAAACAGCAGAATCTGTGCCAAACGATGTTTCCAGATTCGTTTCTTGCCTAGAATCGCCTGGAACCGATTCACCATTTTTGCCTACGCAGGTGAAACGCCCAAAACCCAGTTTCACATGATTCCGTTTCTTGTCTTTCCTCTATGCTTAACAATCATATTTTTTAGTTAACCTTTTTAAAGTGCAACAAGTTAAAATGAATTATATTTAAGTTCTTCTACACACATAAAAAGTTCTGATATTTTTTGAAACATATTTTCATTTATACGAATTTCTTTATAAGAAAACATTTTTATTGAATTGGAATTTAGCCTCACAGCCAAACGGTTTCACGAAAATGATTCTGATTCATTGTCAGAAACGTTTCTTGAGAGAATCTGAACCTGAGACGTTTCTACGAGAATCTGGATCCCTGCCAAACACACACTTACATACTTCAAGCTAAACAAACAAATGAACGTGGCTCCCTTTTCAATTGCTTCACTGTTATTAAAGAAAACGGAGCTATGCTCAGTCCGTGCAATCTTTTTTATTTCTTAGCCTATAAGAATTCTAAATTCAAAATAAAATTTAAAAGTTTTGAACAACACTTCTCTGAAATTTCCATTCACTAGTGGAAGCCCTTTTTGCCAGCCGCAATCACATCACAATCATTAGTATCTTATCTTATGTAAAAGTTATCAATTATTTAAAAGCATGCATGTTGAAGCCTATTGGTTGGATTATGATTTATGAACTTGACAAAACATGAATATGACCAGCTGCACTGCAACTGCAACACACTCTGATAGTCTGATGGTAAAGGTGTTGCAGTAGTGGCTATTGGCAACGGCGATAACACCGTTTCGAAAATATGAAGAATGAAGTTATTGCATCCAGAGACGACATATATCTGAAAATTAAAGGAAATTAGACATGACGAACAGGCCGATGCAGTAGCACAATCCTTGTAATCACTTGGCGAAGAGAACGCCTATGTCCTCCAAGCGAGATGAACGTCATGCTGATGATGCTGCACGTGACCCGGTTCGCCGCGATGCCGAGGCTCATGCCCTGCGCGCGCAGCTGCAGCGGCAGGATCTCCGCGCTGTAGGTCGGCGCCAGCGGGCCGAGGCCGATGGAGAACGCGGTGACGAACGCGACGCACGCCGCCGCCACCGCGGGTGTCGGTGTCGTCTCGCCGGCGCCGGCGCCGGCGGACAGCAGCGCGATCCCCAGCGACGTGAGCGTGACGGCAATGCCGGCGGCGCTAGCGAGGAGCAGCGGGCGGCGGCCGAGGCGGTCGGACAGGAACGTGGCCACGAAGATGGAGAGCGTCTTGACCAGTCCGACGGCGACGGTGGCGGCGAGGACGGCACTGGTCGACGAGATCCCCGCCTTCTTGAACACCAGCGGGGTGTAGAGGACGATGGCGTCGATGCCGGAGGCCTGCTGGAAGGAGTAGAGCACGAGGACGTTGGCGAGGATCCGCCGCACCATCGGCGACGCCCGCACGAACAACTCCCTCCACACCCCGGCTCCGCCCACCTGCGCCGCGACGGCACGCCTGATCTCCTCGAGCCGGTCGCGGGCCTCGGCCGGCGCGTCGGAGGTGCGCTCCAGCACGGCGCGCGCCTCGTCGTCGCGCCCGCGCATGGCGAGCCACCGGGGCGACTCCGGCATGGCGAGCACCCCCGCCGCGAGGAGCAGCGACGGCGGGACGCCCAACGCGAACATGGCGCGCCAGCCGAGCTGCAGCGGCAGGCCGGCGAGCGCGTAGTTGGAGACGTAGCTGAGGAGGATACCTGCGGTGATGAAGAAATCGACGAGGGAGGAGAGGAGGCCGCGCGACGACGCCGGCGCGATCTCGGCCGCGTAGACCGGCGCGACCACGACCGCGAACCCGACGCCGACGCTGGTGACGAACCGCGCGGACATCAGCGAGTCGAAGCTGCCGCCGAGCGACATGGCGAGCGCGCCCGCCATGAGGAACGCGTTGGCGATCACGACGGTGCCACGGCGGCCGATGGCGTCCGCGGCCCAGCCGGCGGCCAGGATGTAGGCCAGCATGAACATGTTCATGGACCCGGACAGCACCTCCACCTGCTCGTCCGTGAGCCCCAGGTCGTCGCGCATGAACAGCTCCGCGCCGCTCATCAGCGCGAGATCTGCAGGTGGGAAGGAAGAGAAGAAGCATGGGCCGCTGGATGTCAGTGTCATGAACGATGATGAAGCACGTACGAGACGAGAGTAGCAGTGACGACTGACGAGTGGACACGTACTGTAGCCCATGAGGATTGTGGTCATGGAGGCGAGCGTGGCGCAGACGAAGGCGAACATGTTCCGGCGTGGCGGGGTTGGCTCCACCTCCACGGCGCCATGGTGCTCCGTGGTGCCCATGTTTTGGTTTCTTGGCTTGTTGGTGAGGACGACTGAGATAGCGGCGGTTGAATATATCTGATTCTGATCCCAGTGTGTGTCACTGTCATCTTGTCAGCTCGGATGCTGGAGAATTATTTGGGATGCTTATTGTTGCATCAGGAAAGTAAAGGGGATCAAATCAAAGTGTTTGCACGCACCTTGCAAAGAAGCATATGAACATGGTCCTGTGGAAGAGGACAATCATACAAAGCCATGCGATTTGGTGGTAGGGTAACATGATTAGCACCGGGTTACCTTTTTGTTTGCTCACGCCAATAGCTTATGAGAATTAATGACAGTGATTATCACCTAACATGACATGAGGGCCGGGCCCTTTTGCAGACATGAATGCCACTAGCTCGACTCAGCTCTGCTCCGTGTTGTCGAAGCTGAAGGTGGGGAGTGACGACGGGAAGAACACGACGCTCCGGGAAGCGGATCGGAGTTCGGAAACACGGAAAGATATAAGCTTTCAGACGATGGATGGAAAAGGCCATACAGCGTCACCTTCACCTGGCGCAGATGTGATCCGTGCATCTCTTGTGGGACGATATTTGGCCACGTCACCTGCCGTGGATTTTTTACTTTTATTATTTCAAAAATAGCCTCACCTAGTTTATATTTTTATTTTTAACCATTTTTTTAGACGAAAGAAGAATTATATTAGATAATAACTGAGTACATCATCACGTTACAAGCACTTTGAAATACACTACGTATATCCATAAATTGATCTTGATCTATATTTTATCCAAGCTTTGTATAGCTTCAAATCTCAAATCCAAACCTGCATGACGCTTCATATGGATGACCGCACAGGCAAACACTCGGCAAAAGGTCTGAGAACAGATGCCCAACGAATGGCGGCCAACATTCCTGCAGGCGGAGTTGAGAAACTTCTTCTTTCTTATGTCTTCCTTGTTCTTCTTTCTGCCACCAAAGAATAAGGAAGACTGATTTGAAACTTATTCTCCCTGGTCCTTCACCGTGGTCAGATCTAACCACAGCAAAATGGAGAAGAGACCGGAGAAAATTATTCCATGGCGGCGACATCAT